AAGAATAAAAGAATGGTTTTTCAACCTGGGTGAATTTTCCTTCTAAATATGTAAAAACTGTCCAGCTTACGAAGGGACAACAGTAAACCCCATAACAATAAATATTTTAAGAAGGGTAATTAAAGCACCTTTTTTGAGGTGCATCTAATATTTTAATTAGATTTCGAACGAATATAACATTTTTAACTGTTTTTAATTAAAAACTGGAAACATTTTTATATAAAAAATTTTTAAAAATAGTCGTAATCGGTCAAAATAATCGATTATTGGGCCCGATTAATCGACTTAAAAATGGAAATTAAAATAGTTGATCGAAAAAATCTAAAATCGATTATTGGCTTTTCATACCATTCACTAATTCAAACATCGGATTTTTACTGCTTCTAAAAATAAGAATAGATTTAGTTCAAAGTTGTCAAAAATGAACAACAACCATCCAATGACACGCAAATGTAAAATGCATAGGTTTTTCACCCGTATTTGAAGCACTTCGGGTTACTAGTTGTGATGAAAATTCTTCATCTTTTTCCATACTTTTTTTGCTGCGTAATTGATGTCATACTTTACAAACGACATCTTAATAACGTCTAAAAATGCGATTACATATTTTTCGCATATATATATATATATATATATATATATATATATATATATATATATATATATATAATATAAATGAACAACAACCATCCAATGACACGCAAATGTAAAATGCATAGGTTTTTCACCCGTATTTTTATATAAAAATGTTTCCAGTTTTTAATTAAAAACAGTTAAAAATGTTATATTCGTTCGAAATCTAATTAAAATATTAGATGCACCTCAAAAAAGGTGCTTTAATTACCCTTCTTAAAATATTTATTGTTATGGGGTTTACTGTTGTCCCTTCGTAAGCTGGACAGTTTTTACATATTTAGAAGGAAAATTTACCCAGGTTGAAAAACCATTCTTTTATTCTTTTTAGATATATTTTAATTTTTTAACATTTATCATTTAAAAGGTTTTTTGAATCCGTGTTTAACAGTGCACTATGGTTCAGATGACCACTTTTTTGGCCAAAACTAAAAATGTGTCCAAAAAATATTTTTATGGTGTAATAGATATACTATTTTGCTTAAAATTTAAGTGCAATGACAGAAAAATATGCCAATTTACATAGTTAAGAAATTTAAGTTTTAACAGAAATTTAAAATATGGAGTTATTATTTTAAACCGTTAGATAGGTATATTTCAAATTTATCGAAAAAATAAATTTGAGTTATTAATTAAATTAATTATATTATAGTTCTAAATTACTATCCAACTTTAAAATTTTATTCTCCAATATTTAACGATATTTGCTAAATTTTGGAATATTTAAAGAAAATACCCCTTTATAACAAAATGTCAGTTTTCCCGAATAAAATCCCATTATTTCCGACAAAGAGATTCTTAAAGTTTCATACTGGGAAGAGGTCGGACTTTTTTTAAAAGCTTATATGAAGTTGGTGATCGCAAAGATTTAAGAAGTTATACCAAACATCCATGTTTTACGTACCCCCACATTCTTTTTGGGTCAGCTTTTTACGTTAATTATACTAGTTTACAACGATTTTGCTCATTATATAAAACCTATATAAATTTTTTTTATTTTGGACGTCTAAGTCCAGAAAAAATATTAAAAAATCTAGGACGTAGAATTTTTGAATTATTATTAGGAGGAAAAAATTGAATATTTAGAGTTGTAGTTATTTTTTATATAAAAAATTTTACTTGTCTTCCTTACAACGCTCTAACAATCGATTCCTGTCACGAAAATATTAAAAATTACGTTGCAATAATCTTAAATCTTGGTGAATATATGCCATTTTTATCACTCACACTTTTAAGATTTTTTTAGAAAAAGTATAAATGAGAATGTAAGAAATGAATTATGTTGGATAAATACAGTTTGTAAGTATGGAACAAAATGTCAATAATTTTTTTTGGAATTATTTTTTTTTAATTTTTTAAAAAAATCTAACAAAACAATTACTAAAAATCGGGTAAAAAACAAAAAAAGTGGTAAAAAAATGGGTTAAGAAAGTCCTAAATTTTGTATAATTGAATTTTTTTCTGAGTTGGTTGTTAGGTTCCCAAAACAGGAGAAAGCACTCAAAAAACAATTCTCATTTTCAAATATTTTTCCAGCACTACTGGAGAAGGATGCTTAATAAAAACCACTTTATCTCAAAATTTCGACGTATAGGAAAAAAAAATAAAAATTGTTAATTAACCACCGGACATAGCCCTTTCCCAAAATATATGTTTCATTCCATGAGCAAACAAAAAATATTAATTTGTAAACTTGTGTTATTAAAGTACTTCCTTTTATCTTTTATATCCAACATTAATTTTTTAATTTGTTTTTTTTTTCGCTGAAAGTGGAAAAAATAATCTGCAAAAATCTGTATTCGAAATTACATTTTATGAAAAAAGCAACTTTAGTGGCTTGTTATTAAAGAGTAATTTAATGTTGATGAAATAAAAATACATTTTCTATAGCTCCGAAGTATGGCCTACAATACTGCATTGAAAAATTTGTTAAAATGCGACATAAAAAAATAGTTTTGGCCAAAGAAAGTGGTCGTCTGAATCATAGTGCAGTGTACAAAACTTGATAATGTTGTGCATTTTTTTTAATTTTTATAAAAACCTTACAATTATATACATATTTTGTTTGGAATATGACAATTATAAGGAGGCCGTTATTTATGATTTTTCACCATTGGATGCGGCCTTACAAATGATAACCCATATATATTGTATCAAAAATATATATGGGCAATTTCGTGTCAAGAATTGCCGGTCTTAGAGGGGGTCGTGGCGAAACTCTGCCAACTCTGTTGTGCATTTTTTTTAATTTTTATAAAAACCTTACAATTACATACATATTTTGTTTGGAATATGACAATTATAAGGAGGCCGTTATTTATGATTTTTCACCATTGGATGCGGCCTTACAAATGATAACCCATATATATTGTATCAAAAATATATATGGGCAATTTCGTGTCAAGTGACCCAACCAAGGTTAGAACTATTGTAAAGAAGCCAAACAGAAATTTTCAGCTCTATCGGTCAAGAATTGCCGGTCTTAGAGGGGGTCGTGGCGAAACTCTGCCATGATGTGAACCTACTTACATATATCACTAAAAAATTTCATTGAAACTAAAATCGTGTTATTGTTACCCCACGAAATTGCCCATATACTAAAATTTAAAAAAATAATTAGAAAATACCTTTTTTTTAAAATTGGTCCAGCTTACGAATGGTTATCGCTAGACTCTAAAACAACACGATTTTTCCATGAAATTAATTAGAGATATACATATGTATGTAGGTTCACATTATGGCAGAGCTATGCCATGGTTCACATAAAACGGATTCAAAAAACCTTTTAAATGATAAATGTTAAAAAATTAAAATATATCTAAAAAGAATAAAAGAATGGTTTTTCAACCTGGGTGAATTTTCCTTCTAAATATGTAAAAACTGTCCAGCTTACGAAGGGACAACAGTAAACCCCATAACAATAAATATTTTAAGAAGGGTAATTAAAGCACCTTTTTTGAGGTGCATCTAATATTTTAATTAGATTTCGAACGAATATAACATTTTTAACTTTTTTTAATTAAAAACTGGAAACATTTTTATATAAAAAATTTTTAAAAATAGTCGTAATCGGTCAAAATAATCGATTATTGGGCCCGATTAATCGACTTAAAAATGGAAATTAAAATAGTTGATCGAAAAAATCTAAAATCGATTATTGGCTTTTCATACCATTCACTAATTCAAACATCGGATTTTTACTGCTTCTAAAAATAAGAATAGATTTAGTTCAAAGTTGTCAAAAATGAACAACAACCATCCAATGACACGCAAATGTAAAATGCATAGGTTTTTCACCCGTATTTGAAGCACTTCGGGTTACTAGTTGTGATGAAAATTCTTCATCTTTTTCCATACTTTTTTTGCTGCGTAATTGATGTCATACTTTACAAACGACATCTTAATAACGTCTAAAAATGCGATTACATATTTTTCGCATATATATATATATATATATATATATATATATATATATATATATATATATATATATATATATATATATATATAATTAATTCACATATTTGAATAATTCATGGAATTGCATTTAAAGAAAAAAGATAAAAACCAAATAAAATGATTTTGACCGCTAATTGGTTGACAGATGGGAATTTTAAAATTGAGGAAAAATTTAACAATTAAAGTTTGTCAATTATGGTCTGCATAATTTCTCTTATAGGTACAATTAGAAATGGTAAAATTATAGTTAGGCTTTATTAATTAAAAATAAAACATGAGAAGATTTTGTTTGTTTCAAACTAAAATTAAAAAAATTATCTTACAAGATAGAAAATGTTATAAAATACCTTATTTTAGGTATAAACCATTTATTTATTAATGGTTCATTTAAGGTATTTTAAGCATTTTAAAGTTTATGTATAGGATTTTTATAGCATATTATTAGGAATACATAAAATTAATTGAATTTAGATAAAATCATAAAATTTTCAATTTGTTAACATTTAGAATCAACTTATGTTGGAAGTTGTTTAAGAAGTTATTCAAGGCATAAATAAATCAGTACTCTAACTTGTTTGATATGTGCGATATGACAAGGTAACACAAGCACTATTTTCTGCGTGTCGCTCTAATGCACAATATACCTACATACATACATGTATGTAATTGTAAAAAAAATTATGGACCATAGTTTTACTTATTGTATTACTTTCTAATATCACTGACAAAATATTATATTAATTTTATTTCGAAAACTTGATCAAAACTGAAGTCGATATGTACATACATACATAGGTCGAAACAACCACTTATGTTGTAATCCAGTTCATATTCGCTCATGCATGTTAACAAAATATTAACGCTTTTCGTCTGAAAGGAATTACGCCATATATTTTTTATAGTCGCACCTATTTTTACGCAGAGTGTTTTATTGTTAGAAACTCCAAAATTGTTTAACTTTCAGGAAGGTAAATAGTTTTACATCTGAAACACAAATGCATTTATGACTCACTTATTTTACGAAACGACAATATAAATACGACCAATTTAATAGATTCCGTTCTTTACAATATGTAAAATATTAATTTTCACTTTGAATTCATTAATTTTGATTTTCAATACAATAGTTTTGCATTATAAAAATATTAAAATTATAATACACAGCACCATGGCTTAAAACATGATTTAAAAATATAGAAGGTTGTTTCAATATAAATTTGTTGTTCTTTTGTCTACAATGGTAAACAGAGCCCTGCGCCGACAAATATTAACGGCGGCGGAGGCTAACACTAAAAATATCGGCGGCGGCTTAAAATCGACTGTAAACCGGCTAAGTATTAAATACGCTTAATTTCAGCGTTGCCAATTTAGCGCTTTTGGTGCTAGATTTAGCGCCTTTTAACAATCCAAAAGTCGCATTTTTTCCTCTTAGCGCTTTTTTGGCAAAAGGCGCTAAATAAGCGCTTTTTTCAAGAAATGAAAAATCTTAAATTAAATTTGCAAGTGCCCGTGCATTTAAAACTGAATACCCTATTGTGTTGTTTTTATGAACAACAAAATAGAAGTTGCTTATTTTGTTTTTATTTTTTCCCTTACAACTGCATTTAGAGTTGGAAAACAACCAGCCAAGTGTAGAAAGGAATGTAAGAAAAAACAAGTAAGAGTGTTATATTCGGCTGTGCCGAATCTCATATACCCACCATCAAGCCGTATGCCATAAAAGGAATGCTCCCCTACAAACATCAGGGTGATATTTGGAATATGTCTTAAGTCAATTATGGACCGAGCTCTTTTGAACTAACAAAATATTAATTTTTAAAAACCAAATATTTTATTTAAATTTTTAAACCGTGAGCGTATGAGTGATTTTCTGAAGAGGACCTTTATATGCGTTAATTATGAACCGATGCTCATAAAATTTTGTACATAGATTTCATTTGTATAGAACTTGTTTATGCGAAATTTCAGCGCCATACTCGTATTTTAAGTAAGGAAAACTCGTATTTCAATAACCAAAACTCTTTCCTGAAGGGAACCTTTTATAGGGGCTAGGGTCAATTATAAATCAGTCCTCATTAAATTCGGAATGAAGAATTATGTTCCTAAGTATAAAATTTTTTATGTCGAATTTAATCGCTGTACTTCCAATTATCTGAATTTTCTTCATAAAATTTTCTAAAGAGGAACTCATATGGGGTGTGGTCAATTGTTGACCTATCCTCATAACTTTTTTTGTAGACCGATTTTGGTTCATATAAAACTTGTTTACATTAAATATCATCGCTGTACTCGAATTTTTATGCCAGTAATTAACGTTAATGTAATTTTATAAAGGGGGCTTGTATGGGGGGTAGAGTGAATTACCGACACATTCCGCATGAAATTCGGAGCGAATTTCATAACCGTATTTCATAACTCATATTTTTAAGCCAGTAATGATCGTTTAAGTAATTTTCTGAAGGGGACCTTTTATGGGGGGTAGGGTAAATTATGGACCGATCCTCCCTAAATTTGGTGGAGAGATTTTGGCACGCATTTAACTTATGTTCGTCACTACATTCATATTTTTAAGCCAGTAATGAGAATTAGAGTTATTTGCAGAGGGGTCCTTATATGCGGGAAGGGTCATTTATGGGCCGATCCAAAAAAATTGGTGCAGAGGTTTTGGCTCGTAAGAAACTTACGTGTGTAGCATTTCATTGCTTTACTCGAATTTTTATGACAGCAATGAGCGTTGAAGCTATTTCCTGAAGTGGACCCAATAGGGGGAGTAGGGCCAATTATGGACCTATCCACATAAAAGTTATTAAAACGATTTTGGCTCGCGAGGAACGTAATTGTGTAAAATTGCTATATTCGTATTTTTTAGCCAGTAATGAGCGTTAAAGTCATTTTCAGAAGGGGACCTTATATGGAGGATAGGGTCATTTATGGGCCGATCTTAAAAAAATTCGTAGAGCGATTTTGGTTCGTAAAAAACTTACTTATACCGAATTTCATCGCTATACTCGCATTTTTGGACCAGTAATGAGTGTAAAAGTCATTTTCTAAAGGGGACCTTATATGGGGGTGGGGTAAATTATGTACCAATCCTCAAAAAATTTGGTAGAAAGATTTTGGCTCACATGAAACTTATTTATGTCGAATTTCATCGCTGTACTTGCATTTTGGGACCAGTAATGAGTGTTAAAGTCATTTTCTGAAGGGGACCTTATATGGGGGGTAGGGTCATTTATGGGCCGATCCTAAAAAAAATCGTGTGCGATTTTGGTTCGTAAGAAACTTACTTATACCGAATTTCATCGCTATACTCGCATTTTTGGACCAGTAATGAGTGTTAAAGTCATTTTCTAAAGGGGACCTTATATGGGGGTGGGGTAAATTATGTACCGATCCTCAAAAAATTTGGTAGAAAGATTTTGGCTCACATGAAACTTATTTATGTCGAATTTCATCGCTATACTTGCATTTTGGGACCAGTAATGAGTGTTAAAGTCATTTTCTGAAGGGGACCTTATATGGGGGGTAGGGTCATTTATGGGCCGATCCTAAAAAAATCGTGTGCGATTTTGGTTCGTAAGAAACTTACTTATACCGAATTTCATCGCTATACTCGCATTTTTGGACCAGTAATGAGTGTTAAAGTCATTTTCTGAAGGGGACCTTATATGAGGGGTAGGGTCATTTATGGGCCGATCCTAAAAAAATTGCTTAAAAGGTTTTTGTTCATCAGAAACTTACTTATACCGAACTTTATCGCTATACTCGAATTTCTAGGCCAGTAATGAGTGTTAAAGTCATTTTCTGAAGGGGACCTTATATGAGGGGTAGGGTCATTTATGGGCCGATCCTCAAAAAATTTGGTAGAAAAATTTTGGCTCATATGAAACTTATTTATGTCGAATTTCATCGCTATACTCTTACTTCTAAAGCAGTTATGCCCGTTAAAGCTGTTTTTTGGAGGTCCACTTGTATGGGGGCTATCCGAAAAATTGGACCGATATTGCCCATTTTCAATACCAAACAAACCTTAGCAATAGAGAATATTTATGCAAAATTTCAACTGTCTAGCTCCTATCGTGTGGTCCCTATCGTGATTTCAACAGACAGACGGACGGACATGGCTAGATCGTCTTAGAATTTAATAAGGACTAGGAATATATATACTTTGATGGGTCTATGGCCAATATTTCGATGTGTTACAAACGGAATGACAAAATCAATATACCCCCCATCTCTTTTGATGGTGGGTATAAAAATAAACTCACTGTTATTGTTGGTGTTTTGTTAAAACTTTAATGTTTTGCAAAAAATGCGTTTTGAATTCTTATTGAGTTTAAAATAATTCTTTCATAAGACATTTCTAGTTTTCCTAAAATATTGGGAAAGGTTTCCTGATGAGCTGGCTTAAGCAACCGGCGAAATGCGCATAGGAACTAGCTTCCCCACCATCAATACATGACAGTGAATTTATTTAAAAATTGGGGTTTAAAGCACGATGAGAAACTCTTTAACTTATTTCAGAAAAATCTTTTATAACATAAAATTATTCTAGTTTAACAATAAAGATAAAACAGAATAATTTTAGACAGTACTCTGCTGTACAAATTTATTAAAGTTCCTTTTTCTAAACTTTCCAAATTAAGAGTAATTCAAAGATCTTTTAGTGTGATGAGTTATTTTAAAACTTTAAAACTCCACAATAGTTGATTTTGTTCGTAACAGCTTTTTATTGATTAGAAAATTCTATAAAAAATTCACAACAAGGGATGTTTTTCACGTCAAAAAGGGGAAAAGTTGTAAATTAACTTAATTTTAGTTAGGTTAACTTGAACATAAATTGCATTTCGTGAAAACTATTGATATCGATAATGTGAATAATACAAAAATAATTTTGATCGCACAAAGTTTGATTCTCAAAAATTTTGCATTATTTTTTTTATAACTTTACTGTGAAGGAAACAATAACTTGACGATTACTTCAGTTTTTTCACAAAGTTTTGGCTCTTGGTATTTTTGGAAATGAAGAGTTTAATTAAAATTTATTATGGGGAATTTCAAAGAATCTCTTTGACTAGTTATTGAGATCTTGATCGATGATAGCAATTAGTCATTGAATAAGAAAATCGAACATATTTGTATTAACCTTAATTTTTTAAATTTCGTTCCCGAATCAAAATTCCAATTAAGGAGTAATTTTTTTAATAAACAAATTTTAGCTAAAAACTTTATTTTTAAAGACTGTGCGTTTTAGTATAAAATAGTTGACAACACTGCTTAATTTACAAATTTCCAAAGATTTTATATAAAAACGAAATCCGAGAGATAAAAAAGTGGGATTTTGTATATAATTTATAACAATAAAATAGAGCAAGCACAAAAGTTGTGTGAGAAATTATGCAGTGATGAAAAAAATTAAAAAATTTAACTCTATAAAAGATACAAAAACAGTTTAAAGCTTATTGTCGTTCATTTAAAAAATAAGCGGACAGGTGTCTGGTACTTTTTTCAAATTCGGCCACTTTAGGGAATAAACGGGTAAAAACTGTATTTTGGTACCCACGTATCTTTTAAGCCAGGGAACATTCAAAAAATATTTTTACTCCTTTATAACTTGACGAAAAAATAAAAATATGAATTTAGTACTTTTTGGATATTCGAACGTTTAAGGGATGAAAATTGTACCTATTTTTTGTAATTTTTTCATAGAACATTGTTTTTGGTTTATTAACTTATTCATATGAATATATAATAACGGGCTCCCAATACGATGTTGGGACTTTTTGAAATAGAATTTTTATTTCGTTAATGGGGAGGAAAAAAGTACCAAAAGGGATAAAAGCGGGAAATTTGATTTTATTCAAACACAATGATCCAATTTATATACAATTTTTAGATTTAGAAACACTACTTTTGAGTTTGCTATGATATTGAAATCGAAACATGAAATTAATAATAAAGGAATTTTTCGGTACTTTTTCGTTCTACACAAGTACTTTTTTGAATTAAACCTAGACACATGAAATTATGCAGGTTGAGCCCGGAGTAAATGAGAATCTATAAAAGGGGACTTATTGGTACTTTATCGTACTTCGACTGGTACTTTTTGAGTTTTCTATAAAATTTAACCTAGAAACATGAAATTAAGCAAGTAGGGCCCGGAGTAAACGAGAATATATTAAAGGGGGGCTTATTAGTACTTTATCGTACTTCGACAGGTACTTTTTTGAGTTTTATATTAAATTGAACCTAGAAACATG